CATTCCGTCCTCTTTTAACAATTTGTTTAATATGTGGTATAAAAGTCATAATGCGATCAAAGGTCGCCCCTAGAAGCTTTGATTGATCTTTGAATTCAATTCGGATGTTGTTCAATTCAAGTTTCAAAGACGACTCTTCCCTATGATCCATACAGAAGAGCATACCTACGGTTTTAATTTATTTTAAGATATGCGAAATCCCTAGTCATTGGACCATTTCGACAATTTGTCTAAAGCTTCTTGCATTCTCGTTCTAACCGTACCGTAGTTATTCGCTAAATGACAGACTGGGCTGTCGTCTGCATAGACGGCTACGTCAATAAGTTTCTTAGTGTAGTTATTAGACTGAAGTTCATTAATCATGATATTGAAATGTGTCGGGCTAATAACGGAACCCCTGGGGTGTGCCATTTTCGAATTCATATTTATTGCTTATTGAGAGACCTACATTAACTTCATTTTTATCTTTTAATGGTTTAATCAATGGGGTTGTTCCTTCTGACCATGATTTATTGAATAATTCTAGAAGTAAATTACGTAATGACCCCGAGAGTTTTCTTAACATACTATATTTTATTTGATCTTCGCCAGTCGCCGATTAAATTTTACTACCTAAACCTTTTCTTCTAGGGCAAAGGGTAAGTTAATGACTTTATGTTCGTCTACTAGGTTACGCAATGGTTACGCGACTTTCGTTTTAAGAATTTGTCTCTATGATTTTTATCGCTACTGCCATCAGCAAACGTTTTTCGCTAATAGCTCTGCCTTTTCGCTATTTGTCATGGCTGCCTGGGATTCATAATTAAGAGCAGGGATATTTCTAGAAAAACATTTGCCTCTTATTGTGTGTATTTTTTCCAGACATTCGAAATTTTAGTTTTATCATTCGTACTATCACAGAATGCCATCCAATGCTTTTCTTTTGCCTCTGAAATGACCTGTTTGGCGTTTGCATCACGCTGCTTATACAAAGATTTATTATATGCGGACCATACACGAAATAGGTTTTTTAAGTGATTTTTGACATTCTGGGGACCATCAAGGTTTTTGGGGCGCCTTGGGTTTTCCCGCCTGTTGTTCTGGGGATTAGGCTTCTGCTACATTAAAGATCGCACGCGAAATATACTCGGTTAATATATTTATAATATAGTGCCTAACTGCACTTGGATCGATTTCTTCACAATAGTGTTGAAGAAGAGTGCAATCTCTTGTTCAAGGTTCCATCTTTGTTTGCACGTGACTGGTTCTTTATTTACGTTTGAGTTTATTTCAGTTTTGACTATTAGTTGATTACTACCCACCGTATTATTTATGACTTGCCATTGTTTCTACTTTATTTGTCTGACTTACTTTCAGTCGAATGAAAGGGATATTATCTTTTACATAGATGGCAAGCCCATCGGCAACTCCCTTTATTGCACCTGGTCGATCATGCCTCGACATTGTGAAGCTATCAATTTTTATGTCATTGTTTCTAGGGGACAGTATGGTTTATTGTATACACAGTATATCAGCATTGTTTTTAAAGATATATTGTTTGAGATCCATCAAACGAGGTCGTAACACATTGTTTTAGTATTATTGACTTGCTTATAATACCTCGTCGCTATTACCTACACTTTTTGTGGGATTAATTATCTCTTGTTCAGTGATCATGGGATTAACTCAATGCCTGAGTGAATTGACTTCCTTTTCTGAAACAACATTTTCTATTGATCTCTTTGAGGTTGATTTAGACCAGCTTCTACTTCTATCTATTGCAGCAGATGTGATGGGAAGGGACATTTCTTTTGTATCTTTCACATGGGCCTTCTCTGCTTGAGGAGGTTTCCCTTACGTACTTTTCGGTGTTTGAGTTATTTTTGTATGGTTTCCCTATTTCGGCAATCCTTTGTTCTCCCTCCGTAACTAAACTCAATCTAGCGATGTCTTGACAGACGCGGACAAAATTTTCTGCGCTTTTAAGTTGGGGGGGGGGTGAAATATTTGTTAGTATCTTTTGCAGCTGTTTCCGCTGCTCTTTGGGGCATAGTTTTGCCTCTTTGTGGGATATTCCACGCGTGTATTGCATGGTTAAGATAAATTTTGTATTTAAATTTTGTATTTAAATATTGGGGGCATTTCGGCGAATCAGCCCCGCGATTCCCTGTACAGTTTGAACATTTTGGCTGCGCGGCCCTGCATTCTTCTGTTTTATGGGTATTTCCACATTTACCGCAGATAGCTAAGCTCCTGCAGAATTTCTCCAAGCATCCCACAAGTATCATCGATCTTTCTATAGACGTGGACTGCAGTGCCTTGTCTTCCAGGTAGGTCATGTATACTTCGGTCAGTAGCTGGGATTGGGGGCTTCCCAATAGTAGGCCATATATCTGTTGGTACAATTGATCGCTCTAGTTGTTGTAAGTTTAACGCAGCCTGTAATTAGGTGTATTTGGTTCTGTTCTTTTAGTTCGTTTAGCTTTTTCGTGTGTTCTTTTCTTAAAGATTCATTATGGGAGATTAGATAAAGAGCCGGCAGTTAATTCTCACTATAATAGTTAAAAACTAGATGATGTAAAAGGAATTTGATGAAAATTTCAGTCAAATCGATTCACTCTGAACCGAGAATTTAGCGATTGAATTTTGGGCCTAGCCTCGATCATCATTACTAAAGTCGGTACGATAAAATACATAGTCTGGAATATCCATTTTTTGATTTAATAATCAATGCGCGTTGAGCAGCAGATCGGATTCCAATCCAGTAAATATCGCAGGCTAGTGATGACACCGAGAGTTGATTATGGTCTAGATAAGTTAATTAATGTCTAAGTAATCATTTAGATAACATTTCAGGCCTAAAGAAAGATCCGCAATCGGCAGATTTACCTCTTGCATAATGTATGTTTAAGGTGATAGGGTCTTTTCTTATTCTGCGATAGGTAGTGGTGACTTTCAGTAACTGTTTGTCGGGGCGTGCCTCCATGCGATTTAAGCTCGAAATTGAATTCGGCATGTACGGATTGTCGCCATATATATTTGAACACTTGCTATTGCTTTGCTTAAAACCGGGGTTGTTAATTTGTAGTTTTATTGAAAATTTTGGTACACTGAAAAAAAAATTGTCTTTAAATAACACAAACTTGTGTTGTTTTCAACACAAGTTAGGTGTCTCTATTTAACAACACAAACTTGTGTTGAAACAACACAAACTTGTGTTAAATGTTGACACAACACAAGTTAGGTGTCTCTATTTAACAACACAAACTTGTGTTAAATGTTGACACAACACAAAACTTGTGTTAAAATTTATCACACAACACAAACTTGTTTTGAAACTTGTGTGAAAATCTACACATTACTTGTGTTGAAATTTATGAAACTTGTGTTGAAATTTACGAAACATGTGTTGAAATTTATGAAACTTGTGTGGTTTCATACAAACTTGTGTATAACCATTAACAAAAACTTGTGTTGTATTTGCCCCTATTTATATAAAGTATAGCAATCTTTCCCATGCAGCACCCCTTCTTTTGATCAGTTCACCTGTAAGGTTTAATAAATGACGGAACAATAAATTTGTTTGTTAAATTATTATTTATTTAAAAATGATAGGAAAAAGTAAATTAATACTGTCAAATCAAAACTATATAGACATTTGGAATGTTAACAGAAAATTAATTCCAATACTAATGAAATTATGTTATATAATGACATATAATTATGCATCAAATTGAAATACTTTCAAACACTGAAAAGTGCATCAAAGTCATTTTACAAGTGATTTGTGAGGCATCTAGAAATAAGTAGCATACACAAAATAACTAACTAAAGAAAAATGCACTATTGCAGAAGTTATAAAATTATGTAGAACCCTTTCCTCATTAAAAACACACAAAATGAATCTTTTGTACATAAAAGGAGCGTCCATTGAATAATGAAAGCCCCAAGATTACAGGTTTTTGTAAAATAAACGAAATAAAAATATCAGAGAAAATGGCAAATATTAAATAATATGTACAAAATATTTATATAAAAGTCATAAGCAAGGGGGAGCTACATTGGTTCAGCGAGTATAAGGCGTTGGCCGAGAAATTTCATCTGGATTCACCGGCATAGTTCCCCCATGTCAGTGGTGTAGGACATGGCAAGAGATGATATAGTTGTTCGCATAGGACAATAAACCTAGGTCTCATAAACACCTTGGTGTGTATTTAAAGCAAGATAGAAATGGGGTTCAGTTTCCACTCGACACAAACTGGGTCAAATAGGGATTAACATAAGGTTCAATATTATTTCAATAATTCACTTGAACATAGGGGTCTTTAGTAGTGGAAGGAAACAAAAGGACCCGGAGAAAACCTGCGATGTGCGCCTACTCCTTGTCATGAACAAGCGGGGAATCGAAACCACCCACAATATGTTCACTTTAAAGAAACCATGACAATTTAAATATTTTACTCAATGCCAGATCTGATCCATTGTGCGCATGTTAACCATTCCGCCACCCATCGCTTCCTGTGTTTATTTTAAAGAAACCTTTGAAATATTTGATAAAAGAGTAGGTTGTAGGTCAGAATTACCATAATAACACAGAAAGGTAGGATATTAAACCATATTTCATTTGATAAGCAAGAGAAAGTCACCTTAATGTAGGTCATGGGATTTTTGTAATTCTGCATAATAATATATACTGATAGTTTTTCGTATAACAAAATGATCCTGTAAACATATCTTATTTATTTTGCTTCTTAATGTGAACAATATTCAAATGGGAACACATCAATAACAACACATTTGTACACTTATGGATGTTTAATCTGTAATCAACGGTACAAAGTCAGAGGGGTCAAAACCAAAAGTACGACACAGATGTCAGTAGCGCGTGTGTCCTCCACGTGCTCTTACGCACGCCGTGACTCTTTATATAACGATAGTCACTAAAATATGTGTTTTTCATATCGATAAATGTTCGCAGGCACATTTATTACATTGTTAACCTAATTATGTATTTTACTTAGGAAAATTATTATATTCAAGAATCCCCGCGGAGTTCGACTGATTGTGATGGGCCACGTCTACATCAGGCTGGTAAAAATTGTGAGGCAGATTGTATCGAATCCTCGAATGGGGAATTTCAAGTAGACGTAAGGGGTAGTGGGATGAAGCTTGAAAGGCAGGTAAGAATATCTTGTGAATCTTTATTTTCCGATCACTTTTATATCAATAAATATTTTCGGTTCGTTCGGAGGTCTACCTTATTTTCTCTAAATGGGTGTTAGTCTGAAATTTCAGGATCCAACATTGGCTAAATTTCAAAATTAAATCGCACGTCTTTTTATTTAATACGTGAATTTCTCCAATTGGGGTTGTTTGGATATCGACGTCAGATTTCGAATAGAAGGTAATGTCGGGGACAAAAGTCAACAGCAAAACCATTAGCCATGTTTCGGGTGTTTATACATAGCCGTATATATTAAATGCAGTATTTGTACCTTAGAATTGAGAGAGAAAGATAGATAATGGGGATTAACGTCTGCTTGACACAAACTATGTTATTTCGGGACTAACGTATGGTTCAGTTTTACTTCAATAATTCGAAGGTTGGGCAGGTGATTATACTCATTGTACCTTACAAGCTAGGATTCGAAACCGCGCCACTTAACTCAGTGGCAAACCTTATGATCGAACGCGCACGCGTTAAATAACTGGGTCACTCAACCCCCCAACTTAGAATTGAAATTTCGCATCAGATAGTTCAATAATTTCAGACCTATTTATTCAATACTAAGGCTTTCTCCCTTACCTGTAAGATGTCGATCCTCGATCGGCAAGTAGTCTTATTAGAATTTTGGCGTGGAACAAGTAATAAAAAAAACTAATGATTTATTAAAGATGCATTATGCAAGAGCTATTTTTGCCCGTCGCAGGTCTTTCTTTTGACCTCAGATGTTATATAAACCATTAATTATACATGTATTAACACGCCAAGACCACAATCAACTGTCTAGATCATTAGAAGCTTACTATTGAAATGAAATGAAATGAAATGAAATGGGATTTAACGTCCTACTGTTTTGCTCCTAAACTGGGCTAATGAAGACGGGCATACGCCATACAGTGTGCTATGAGGGAAATTTTGCCCGGGCAGCGGCGCTACGGCCTACTCTTATATCAAATTCCAACTGCCAAAGGATCTTTTACGTGCACGCCAATTTGTACACGGGACCTCGGTTTTTCGTCCCATCCGAAAGACTAGACAGCTGTCCTTGTCAGGCCCTCCGTCCTGCATCACTGACAAGGGGAAACCACGCCGGAAAATCTGGATAAACTTTCTCGGCCAATGCAGGGATTGAACACCCGACCTCCAGGCTAGCGAGCTAGCGTCTTACCCCCTTAGCCACGTGATCCCCCCTTACTATTGAAACAAGATCGTCATTTGATAACCCACTGAAAAAAAAAGGATAATCGAGACTGTGTGTCCTGTCGTAGCAACGGTAGCAATACTAATCGAGACTCCACTATTCTCCAAACAGCCATGACTTAGGTCAGAATGGAGTAATTTTACTAGCATTTTCAATATATTCTTTTTTCATTATCTATTTTAAAACTATTATGGCGAGAACTGTCGGCTCTTTATCTGGTGGCGTGATTTATAAGGCGACACTACGGCATTAGAAATGTCGTAATGTCGCGTAAAAATGTCGGGTTAAAATATTGTGATTTCGGGTTGTCGGCCACCTTCTTCACATTATACAGCATTGATCCAGGTGTTGTTCAAGAAAGTTCCGGGATTTTGCAGAGTGGTTATCCCTGTCGGTAGTGCAGGACGAAGGGCATGGCAATGAACAGTGCCTAGTTGTGTAGATGGGACACAAATACAAGCTAGTGTGTACACATTAGCGTGCACCTAAAGAACCCTTCACGGTTGGAATTCGATGGAGAAATGCCAATGTCACTAGAAAATTTCCGTCATAGCACTCTGCATAACGTATGTCTATCTTTACGATCCGATTGGCGCAGAAAAATAGGACAATTAAATGAAATGAAATGGGGTTTAAAGTCCCACTGATCTGCCCCGAAGGCCGAATGGTTAACACGCGCGCGCTGTATCATAAGGTCTCTCATTAAGTCAACTGGCGTGGTTTCAATTTCCCAGTTGTGCCTGACAAAGAGTAGGCTCGCCTGTCCAACCCCGTTGGTTTTTTCCGGGTCCTCCCACTGCTAACTGCTAAAGACCCCTACGCGCAAGCGAATTATCGAAATAAAATTGAACCATATGTTAATCCCGAAATGACCTATTTTGTGTCGAGTGGACGTTAAATCTCTCTCTCTCTCTCATCTCTCTCTCTCTCTTGAAGTGAGCGATGTTCATTTTTCCTATAAAAGTTTGATATTCGATTCTAGTGGACAAATAGAATAAATCAATACGATCAGATATATATATATCAAAAACGTGTTTCTAACATCTTCTCTTGCCTCGAAATAACCAATTTTGTCAGGATCACTTTTTAAGATTATTCCCATTTTAATTTCAGTTTTGGGGTTCTAGGTTAATTATCGGCAATACTATATACCGGAAAACAACCGAAAAACACAGGAAAACAACCGGAAAACACAATTTTATACTGAATACCGGAAAACACCGGAAACACCCTAAATACCGGAAAACACCTTAAATAGGTAACCCGGAGCCTGGTCCTCTGTGTGCGGTTTTGGACCAAGTGAGCGCCGATGAAGGAAGGTCAAGGTCATTACGATGTTTGTTTAACAAATAGCCCCCCACCCCCCAAAAAAATTTCCGATTTATTTTTTCTCCCAAATTTTTTTGAACTGTCACAAAAAAAAAATGGAATTTTTCCGAGAATTTGGTTTTACAAAAAAACATTCCGAAGAAAATAATTTTACAGAGAAAAATATGGGAGAAGAAATTGTTTAAAAAAATCTTAAAAATTTTTTTTCTTTGACCGTAGGCGATTGCTCGCTTGTATGTTAATGAACTTATTTCATCAGCGCTCACCTGGTCCAAAACCACACACGAGGACCAAACTCCGGGTTACTAAATAGCTACCGGAAAACTTAGAAGAGTAAACTGTGCCCGAGATTTTTTTTAGAGAGCACGCCGCGCCGCGCCGCGCCGCTCCGGGAGGGATCATCGTCAGGGTGGGATGGGGGTGGAATTGTCCAGTCACGTGACGAACATAGATCTTCCGTTCCTCAACCCATATTATTTTCACAGTCATTGTCATTAATCACAAATTACGGGATGATATACGAAAATGCATGTTTACTTTGAAATAGTGCAAATGATACTTTTCCATCTATAATCTTCAGATCAAAGGATGCAAGTTCTTATACAGTGCAGCATAATTTGTGCAACAGAAGACATCTCGAATATCGATTGTCGGAAAAAACATTTTCTCGGGGACATTTTTTTCCGAATACGCATTCGGTGTAAGTCTTCAGCCACCAGGATGTGGTTAACATAGTAATGTTTTATTACGATAGTAGTACATAAAACAAATTGGTTGCCTGAGGTTCTCGGGGGGAAAGTAGCCTCATCGGCTAGAGTCCTCTATTTCACAAACAAAAACAACAATTGCTTCCTTGAAAATTTATCGATCAACCCTTTTCAAAGCTCGAAAAGTAATCCAGAAAAAAATCCTGTGTGAGGCCCTCGGAATTTGATGGAATATGTTGAATATTATTATGGCTCAAGTGATTATATTTGACCCTGGAGTGAAAGTAAGCTCAGAAACAAGTAGATTTTTAGCCCTTCCAACGAGATGGATAGCTCTTGGAAAGGATAGACACTTTTCAGATTACAGCCTGTCCCGAGAATTGCGTGGCATCCATTTCGTTTGGTGATAAGGACGCATAGCGGTTAAACCTGGAACTTCAACTCGAACTATTCAGAGATTTATTAACTCGCTTTTGATGATACTTCCTGTTTTATGATGCGATTTTTTGTTATCCAGGGAGGAGTAGGCATAGTCGTGCCTTCCACTAATTCGTACCACCCTGATGCCAGCGTTACTGGTAAGAATTAGGAGACCGGCGCAACCGGCATATAATGGGGCCCTCCGAGGGCAGTGTTTAATCTACTGAAATACTGAAACACTGAAATCTACTGAAAACTAATATTAAAATACAAAATAAAATATGGTCAATGGTGGAGGTAGACTGATTGCGTCTTTTAAAACATTCAAAAAGGTAATAGGCTATTTGTAAAATGAACATCGTAATGACCTTGACCTTCCTTCATCGGCGCTCACTTGGTCCAAAACCGCACACAGAGTACCAGGCCCTGGGTTACCTATTTAGGGTGTTTTCCGGTATTTAGGATGTTTTCCGGTATTTAGTGTTTTTCCGGTGTTTTCCGGTATTCAGTATAAAATGGTGTTTTCCGGTGTTTTTCGGTATATAGTATGGCCCGTTAATTATTTATTGCCCGATTTGTATAAAAGAAAAGCTCATATGCTCTGTGGTGCAAATTGTCAACTTTTTTTACCGATAACTTTCATAAACTCGTAGCACTAGTCCATACGAAGAGAATGTATGAGCAGTTGGTGGGAAATATTCAATATGCATTTATATTGCGCTTACATTCACTACTGATAGTGCTCTGTGCGCTGGTTGTTCAATACTAATAGCAGATTTGAAAACGAAAAGTTTTCAATTTAGTTTTGAATATGTTGAGACTTGAATATGATTTAATGTCAATAGGTAACTCATTCCATTTGATGGCTGCAGCATATTGGAAGGATCGCATCCCATATGTCTTGAAGTAAATTTGTGGAAGTGTAAAAAACATCAAATTTTGTGATCGAAGTTGGCGTTTTGGGTTGTAGAACGTGAGTAGTTCCTGAAGATATATTGGAGAGTTTCCATGAAAACACTTGTATGCAGTAGTCAAAATTTTGAAATTTATTCGAGCGGATACTGATCAAACTTTTTAGTCCTGGTGACAATTCTTGCTGCCGTATTCTGAATATTTTGAAGCCGTTTAAGTTGTTCCTGATTTGAATTTGCCAGAAGTCCATTGCAGTAGTCTAGTCGTGATAAGACAAGAGCACTTGTTAGCTTTTTGGTTGCGTCGGTGGTTAAACATTCACGTAGTTTACTGATGTTGCAGAGCTGGTAGTATGTAGTTCTACAGATGTTTGATACTTGTTCGTTA